TTAACATATTAAGGATGAGCGACATATTTAGTGTTGTGTTATCCATGAATACAATAGAATACAGTGTTTGTATTCCCTTGTATTTATAGACAATGAATGTACTCAGAGTTTACATATTGGATAAATACCATAAGGCAGACATCGGCAAATGCGGCTCCGAGAGCCGCATGTGGCTCTTTTTGAGTTACATGCAGCTCTTGCTGAAAGTGTTAATTTCTGCTTATTATTATTATTTTTACAATCTTATTTCCACAATTTTGTGAAAATGTTAATTAAAAAAAATTCAATATTTGTTTTAATTAATGAACTCCAAACACCTTTAAAATGCAGTCTATTTTAATAACTTCTCGAATGTTTTTGGTCAGATTAACAGACCTTCTTCAGGATCAAACTAATAAAATTTAAATTTGCCAAACAAAATTCCAAAATGTTCTATAATCTTCTCATATTCAATTGCGCATGTCCATTTTTATAATTGTAACGCTGCCGCTTTCTATGCTGATGCTATTTTGTATGATTCTCGAAAATTTATATTTTGCCCCTTTTCTCTGTATTTGTAAATGTGCCAGGCTTCTGCATATTTTAGATGTCTTCTATTTTCAACCTTTTGTATGACATCTGCCTTGCTCCATTTGATTTCAATCTCTGTTGGATCTGCAATTGCATAATTAGCCAAAGCTGTGATTGGTTGTTTAAATCTTATACTCTTTTCGTGCTCTTTCAATCTTTCATTTAACGATCTCTTTGTGGCTCCTATATAATACATCTCCTTCAGCCTCTTATCACGCAACGGTATTCTGTATAAGACTGGAATCAGCTTCCTGTCTACTGGTGTTTTGTCATTTCTTAGCATTTAATATTATAAAATAGACTGCATTTTAAAGGTATTTGGAGTTCATTAATTGATTATAGTAATGCAGGTAGAGATATAATATTTGTTTTATATTATATAATAAAACTGTGGTACAGAACTGCAGCTCCCATGCATTTTGCAAAACCTACATTTCGGCTCCCACTGAACTTTTGCTTTCCCACCCCTGCTATAAGGTATTGCTTGTTACTTTTATGGTAAATCAATGTTACTTATTTTTTTTGCCTTTAAATGTAGTTTGAAGAAGGTTCACCATGTCAAAACAAATCAGCTTAGTTTAAAAGCTAAAAAATGATAAAAAATTTTAAACAAGTTGATTTCTTTGGATATAATTGATATAACAAATTATGAACTACAAATTCAAGGCTAGTAAATTTTCTATCAGGGAGGATTCTCTTAAAATAATAGAGATAATGCCACATTTTTAACTTAATAAAACTATGATGATAAGAATGCATTACTAAAATTCAATTTATAGAAACTCTTTCATTAATATAAAAAATTTCTGTGATCTGAAATGAAAGATTGAATTTAATCATTGAATCTATAATTACATGTAGAAAAATTCAAATTTCACTACAAAGCTTTAATAATTCTATGAAAATTCTGTTTTTAAAACATCCATATGACCCATGTCTGTAACTTGCTTATAGAACTGTCATCGACTGGTTCACAGTCTGTGTCAATGATGGACTGATACAGGAGAGATCTGCTTTTATCTGTTCAGTACAATGATGTGTTCTTCAGCCAACCACTTCTTGGTTTTTCATAAATTGTACCAAAAACTGCTATTTTTGGTCCTGTTATTCATGAAATGAATTTTGAAGGCGGCTCTCCATCTATAGTATACTTTGTAAACATCCTTCATATTGACAATGAGTCTTTTGATATTAGGCATCACACCTAGAAGTCGAGTTGGAGATCTTACTTTATCCACAATCGGTCTAAGGGAAGACATTGGTTTATGTTTTTGCAATAGCAAATAACTAGGTGTTTCTGGTGAGGCAACAACTGTCCTGCTTAATTCATCTTCTTGGCAAGGGATGTATGTGTAAACTGTGTGACCTGAGCCTGTAACAGTTTACACATACATTCCTTGCTAAGATGAAATTATTCAGGATGGTTGTCGTCTCACCATACAGACCTAAGTTATTTGCTTTTAACTCTTTAGGGCTAGTACACATTAGGCGTTTTGAAGCACATGCTTAGGTAATGTGCATTTTAAAGAACCAAGAGGTCTGCATAAGTATACACAAGCAAACGCACATTGATAGATTTTGGTTAGAATGCGCGTTTCGTGGGCGTCAGCCGCGCACTATGAGATACATGTGCTGCTATTTTGTTGTGCATTCAATTGCACGCTTTCGGATAGAGTGGACATATGTTGGCCAAAATGGAGAATGATCATTTTGATACTAATCTATTTATTGATGAAATTTAAAAGAGACCAGCCATTGTCATATGATTTTATAGATATTCTAAAATAATTAAAAAACTTGGGTTCATATTTTCTTAGTTTTGGATACATCATCACAAATATTCCATGCATCAGTCTATCTCATAATATTGGGTGTACCCAAAATTCTTTTTGCCTCTGCCATCGTCTTTTATAGCGACGATAGAGGAGCCACACACAAGCAATTACTTTCACATCCATTTCCAAACTGAGCCAGTGCAAACAGTCGTCGAACGCCAAGCTAAATGCACGGTGTGTACGCTGCTAACTCGTGTTTAATGCAACGCCCAACACCTAATGTGTACTAGCCCTTAAGCTCTGAAAACTTTCTTTTATTATGTAGCTAGAGACTATTGTTTGTACCCCTCAGGCTACAGGGAAACTTCTATAACAAAACCAGTCAAACAACTTTTCCCATCGGATGATTTTGTTTTGAATGGATAAGGCCAATTTTGTGTTTAGAGTTAAAACATTGCTTCTGTATTCATTAATAATTATGAACACAGATTTACCCAAAATACTAAGTCAAATTTTTGAATAATTCTAACAATTTTATTTCATTATATTTGTTATTCATTACAATTAGCCTTCTTTGTTTGTTTTGTTAATAATTTCTTTTGTTACAGTATACTCATGACAGTTGCTATCAGTAAGTTTATTGACTTTCACTGCAATTATTAAGGACAATGATTTTTCTGATTTTGATTTATTTCCTATTTCTGTCTTACTTTTTCTTTCATTTCAATAATTTAGTTGTAGAGTTTCTTAAAGTATATTTTCACTTTCATTTTTGTTTTCTTTTATCTAAAACTCATCATATTTGATTGCACACAAATTAAGATGCATTAGTTTTTTCAAGGCCATCATATTCTGCTGTCACTTTTAATATTAAAAAAACATAATCATTAAATTATTAAAACATTGTGCTCTTATCATTTTATCCTATTTTAATAATCACTTTCACATTCAAAGCCATCATAATCTATTATTTAAACATAAGTGATTTGAGTAGAATATTCCTTATGAATTAAATCAAAAGTCAGTCATGTTATAAATACAAATTATGAAAATAAATGCAAAATAAAATATAAAACTGTAATCTAATGATAATTTAAATATACATAATTAATCAAATGATGATTTAGTCTTTCAAGATCATAACTACATTAATCAGAGACAAGACATTAAGATGTTTTCAAAGTCATGTTTTAGAATTTTGTCTTTAATTAATGAGTCAATAAAAGTTCACAGAGAAGCTCAGTTCACTTAGAACTAGAACAACACTGACTTTTTTCTTTAAAACAGATTAGAAAACAAAAATTCTGCAGGAGGAAAATTATTATTGTGAAAATTTTACAGTTTTATCCCTTTTTACCCTGTTGTTTTAAATATGTTATTCCAGCAGTCACATATAAATATCGTTTCAGTTTTAACAATTGTACAATATGGACTGAAGAGAGGCAAAAGCCCAAAATGTGTATCCATTCCATCGTACAAAATAAAGTATTTTATTCATCTAATAGTGTTCCTGTGTGATAAGTTCTACTTAGCAATTTTATGCTTAATCCCAAAGAACAAAAATAATAATAAAAAAAATTATTACTGTATATTCATTTCACTTCATTTTAACATTTTAAATTTTCCAACAGTGATCAGATTATTGGCTGTTCTAGATTATGAATACTGTAACATTATATCATTCACTAAATTAATTACATTAGAAAAAGGAATTAATGAAATGAACACAATAACAATGATTACATTATATTTTCATATCATCTCATGAGATTTTTCTTTCAAATAGTACTAAATAATTAATTAGTCTTTGATACATATATATATATTTATATAAAAATCTTTCTAATAGAAAAACATTAAAAAACACACACACAAGAATATATATATATATATTACAAATCAGCTCTACAAAAAGTATTTTAATGAATAAGAGAATAACAAAATATAAAGTAGAATTTAAGTAGAACAAAAAAGTAAGATAAGATAGGAATTGTATTTATTAGTGGTTAGATCATTTAGATTGTATGAATACTAAAAATATAGAAGTGACTAGGTTTAAAAAAATTACAAACTAAATGTCTCAAGTGGAGGAAGAATAAGGAAAAACATATGTAATTGAATAACAGATAAAACTGAACAAACTGAATAAGAAATAAGTTAAGATCTTGTGATTCTAAACATAAGAATCACAATTTCTTGCCCCATTTGCTAAATGCTAAAACTGACTAATTTGATATAAACAATGAGTACAAATACTAAGAAACAATTATTATTCAAATACTGAATAGTATAAAAATGGCAGTGTGTCCACTGATAAAAATATTTATATATATATATATAAATGGATGTGTGTGTCCCTATATTTCACTTTTCAGCCAAAACTACACATCGCACATGAATGGTGCGATGTGTAGTTTTGTATGTGGTAGTAGCCCCAAGTCTCCATTCGTGCACTATGGTGGTTGCGTAGGTATGGTAGCTATAAGGGTGCGAGAGATATGGGCTTGAAAGTGGTTGAAAGTGAAAGATTTTCTATTTCAATTTTAAAAATTTTCAAATTCAAATTCGAATTTGTTCGATTATAGAACGATTGTAAACGTTCCAGAAAATTGATCAAATTGAAAATAGTTCGTTTGANGTAAACAAAACTTATTTTTTACGGAATGAAAGTTTATAGGAAAATCTTACATTTTATATTTTTGAGTAAAAATAACTATCTAAGAATTTACAATTAATAGGATTTATCTAAATTAAATTATATTTCATAAACAAAAAAAATTAATAATTAGTAAAATTTTCATAGATCAATAATGAGGAAATTACTTATGAAAACAAAACTTTAAAATATTTCTTATTTATCTTATTGACATTTTAAGTATTAATAGCTAACTGAACATAAACAGCAATAACAATTATATAAATTCTATATGGTAATGAAAATAATCTAAATTTAATTTCATAGATCTATTATAAAGTTGGCAACTAGATTTAAACATATTTTTTAAAGAAACAAATTTTTCAAACAATGAAACAGATCAAAATAATTGGCAGCTTTAGACAATATATATATATTTATCTATTAAGAAACTTATTTAGCTAAAAATCAAGGAATAGGGAGAAAAAAAAATGCTTGATGTAACAATCATTACATTAATTAGAAAAAAATTCTGCAATAGATTTAGAACAAAATTTTATAACAAAGATATAAAATTTCTTCATAATTTCTTATAACTATTCCTTAGTCAGCATGAGTTAAGGAATTTTAAATTTGGAGATCTTCAAGCAATAATTCAAGTTTAAACATTAAAAGTAAAAGTTGGCTGATAGTATTTACATTAAAATACAAAAAATATATTGAAAATACAAAATTGTCATTTTCTTTTAATTTTAATTAACTATTGTTGTGAATTATGGTATTGGCATTGCCACCAGAGGATGCTTTTATCCATTTTATATTTTTTGTGAAGGTGCAGCTCAAACAAAATGTTGTCTCTGTAAGTGAAAACTGTTTTTGGATTGTTACTAATGATTGTAAACGACAGAACAAGAAGATGAAGACAATTTTGTATCTTCAATATATGTATTTTTTGTATTTTAAAGTTTAAACACTTTTCATTATTATAACTAAAGAAAAAAAATATTTACAGTACTAATCATATTACTATATTATTAAAAAATATAGAAATTTTTACCTTTGCTTGTACAGTATAAATCAGTTTTAAACAGCTACATGTTAAATAAATAAAAATTTAAACTATTCTATAATTTACTTGAAAGCATTCATTAGCAAAATTATAGAATATATATTAAATTAATCAATCTGTAAATAAGCAATCAGATCCAATATAATTTTTTTTTCCCAGTAATTGCCAGATCTAAGTACAAAAATTTAGTTTATTCCTAAATTTATCAATGACTTAAAAGTGAAAAGATGTATTAATATAGTCTATAATTTTGTGACTATAATTTTGCATAACCTTTGGGATAATCAATAACTTAATTACTATTGGTAGTTGATAATGATCAATTACTACTCTATATAATATTGGTCCCCCCAAAACTTTGAAATAGAGTCATCTCAATTCTATTAGAAATAAAACTTAAGATTATTAGTAAAACTAGTTAAAACTTGAGTTAAATAACCTGTATAATTGTCTAAAAGTCATAATAATTTGGCCAATAAAATGAATAATAGGTATTACCATCAGAGATAAAAAAAGAATTCTCTCTCTATGAATATATTCATTCAAAGTATATATATAAAATTTTTAGGCTTTTTTTTGTATTTATCATTGAGCAAATTACGTCATAAATAGTAAGAATGATGTGACCTTGACTCTAGAATAGTAAACATCATTGAAAAGCCTGACTAAAATGAGGTAGGGAAGGATTCCCCATGTCTAAAGACACTGGTGGGGAGAAGGATGGAATTGCATTGCTAGTAATTGATGGTAGAACTCCATCAGTAGCCAAGCCAGGCAATAGATTGGAAGAACCTGGCATGGTGGTAAGGTAACAATTGGGGGGGATCAAATGAGGTAGGCTGGTATTAAAGGATGTATTAAGTGGAAGATATTGGGAGATAGGCATAAGACTTGGTGTTATTTCTCCCAGCCTAAGTAACCCATCATTATCGTCGGTGCCAATTGAGCCAGAATTTCCTCCTGACAGCAGCCCATCGGACGATGTAGTGAAACAACTTTCCTGTTTCATTGCTCCATAATTTGCATCTTGCATTAGAGACATTGGAGGCAAACTACATGGTGATTGTGGAACATTACTAGTCACATCTGGGAGAGATAGAGGAGCTGACATAGGACTTGACTTATCACCATTATCAGGACATAAAGGTCCCCTAGACTCTGTTGTAGCTTCTACTTTCAGTGGACTACCTTGATGAGAAATAACTTGATGGGCACCGTGACTTTTCTTGATGTGCCGTACTAGATGATCTTTTCGCCCAAAACGCTGGGGACATAATTGACATAAAAAATTTCTGACACCTGTGTGAACTACCATATGGCGCTTAACATCTTTGCGAGTAAAAAAAGATCTGTCACATTGGTCACATTTAAACTTTCTTTCACTTGGCCCCTTTAAGGCCCTAGATCCAGAATGTACTTTCAGATGATACATTATGTCCTCCTGTGCAGCAAATATTTTCCCGCACAGTTTACACGACAGATCTCCTGCTTCTGCAGCATGGAATGCCAAGTGTTTTCGGAACGATAAAAGAGAACTATACTTTTTACTACATTGGTTGCATGAGTGTAGTGCTTTATTAGGATTATGAATTTGGAGATGATTTTTTAAGTGGTCCTTCCGATGAAAACAGCGCTCACATACAGAACACTTGAATCTTCGCTCTCCAGTGTGAATGAGAGCATGCCGCATTAATTTAAATTTAGATGTAAAACTTCTTCCACAACTTGGTTCGGAACAGCAGAACTGCTTCTCAATATCCCCATTGTCCACTAATGTTTGGTGTCCAAGAAGTCCTCTTTGGGTGTTCCTCCCAGATGTGACCACACGACTACAATGTGCAATTGTAGGTATTCTGGCATCGCCACAAGTTGCCGTACATTCGTCGTCTGAATCTCTCATCACAAAAGCATTTCCTCACGCTACTGTGGCATGTAGCAGTGACCTTCTACCCAGATGTCACACTTATTTTTCGACAACACTGCCCCATGGGCTGCTGAACAGTTGTTAATTCCTCCTCCTGATGGGTTGACTGTAAGTTGATGGGATCCCTGAGTATAAGTTCATTCCTGAACTACACTGAAAAGAGAAAATAAAATAATTTTTAAATAAAGATAAAAAAAATTAGTAAGTAAATAATTTATTTATATATAATTTAAATATTGAAAATTTATAACAACAACAACTAAAATCATAATGCTTTGCAGTAATTGAAATTTGTACACAATGTTTTCAAACATTGCATGTACAGTATTGTTATTGTTCTATTCTGTTTATATATTGTACTATGTGATTTATAAAACAAATTAACAAAAGATAATATCAATATTAAAGCATCAAACTAATTAACTTCAAAAATATTTTAAACTATTTAATCCTCTAATTTTAGCAACAACTGTAAACAAATAGTAACCTAGAAACTAATCACTTTCAGACTGAACAATTCTTAATATATGACAGACATTTTATTGATATATGTATTGTTTTAAAAAAATCATATAATACACCCTCTTCAACACAAAAAACAAAGTATTTTTGAAGCGAGATTCCTTAAAAAAAAAAAAAACTTCCATGTCTGACTACAAAATATGATATGTAAGATATTGATATTAGCTTAAAATATATGACAGAAGCTTAGTTAATAAACCAATATCCATTACACGATCAGCCATCAAAAGATAGACATCTTATTTCCATCTGAGAAATTTTCATTTATTTTCTTCCTAACAACTTCTATTAAGAGGATAGGAGTTATCCTCCTTTATCAAAAATATTTAACACATTTAAGTTTGTAACAGTAGAAAAATTTACAATTTCTCTTATCTACTTTTACAAACTTTTTCTATTTGTTCACATACTTTTTGGTCTATCCCAAATCACTTATGTTTCTCTCCTTAACTTGATCATTTTCTTTACATTGTAGAAATAATTATTTCAACACTGATGTTACACCTACAAATATGGATGTCAAATATATTTCTAATCTATATCATTTGAATTACTTTAAACAACAAAAAATGCCTTTAATTACTTTTTACAATACTGCTATTTGTTCTTTTCCAGTTTTTTTTTACACAAATCAACATTCCACTCTTAGCAATGATTGTTTTCTGACTTAACACTTGGTAAGACTATACACTGAGTTATAAAATCTTCTAAGTCATTTGAAACTTTACTTTTTCCATCTGAAACTTTATATTATATAAACAATATCATACTTTTTTCAAGTTAAGCAGAAAACATTCTGAAGAGACGACACTTCCCTTTCTCATATGTTCTTCCCTCTAATTTTTTTAAATACTTTTTTTTTTGCTTAAATTTTTTTAAAAAATAAAGAAGAAAATCAATAAAAGCTGCTGTTAACTCGATAATTATTATTATTCATCAAGTGNAAACATTCAATAGAAATTAAAATTTTATTATGATATTTGTTCTAAATTTACTTTTTAATTTTTATAATATTTAGAAAAATGTTTAAGTAACAGAGACATATCATCAGTAAGTAATTCTTTTGTAAAAACAGAAGTAAGCAGCATTTAATATGTAAGGCTTACTACACTGTAAGCTGATTGAGGTAAAAATTGGCCATCTAAGGTTAACATACTTTTTATAATGATGTGCATGGTATAAGTTAATGCATAGTTTACACTTGTTGCTGCAGCCCTGCTAATAATGCTTCATTTAATGTGCACCAATAAATTATATGCAAACATTTCACACCAAATCTGGCAAACTACCCATGAAAAATACAATTTTTCTAAAGAATAAACCATTTTCATTAATTATAAACCTAACAGAAAAGCTGTCAAATGTGAGGTAAGGATTATGTCAATATATAATTTGGATTACTTAAATGCTTCAGAAACCAAAATAAATATTGTTTAACTCTTCAAATCTGAAAATATTTAAGTGAATTGAATGTTTAGTTGGTTGAGTGGAATCAGAAGATTGACCTGGCCATACACATTCAGGTAAACCTGGCCTTAGTAGGTTTAATAAGCAGTTTACAGAATATACGACAATAGTTGACTCATCACTAACTGAACCTGTACCCTTAAGTCAACTTAAATGGGACTGAAAGAGACTGTTATAAACTATCTTGTTAAAAACTGTTCACTTTAATATTTTGTTAGAATTATGAAAGCTTTAAATTGTCTCATTGTTTCAACGTTTCCCATCCAAAACGTGGAATTAGGAATGCGGGCGGATCCTTCACATTCCTAAGGAGTGTGAAAATGGTAGAACATCTCCTGTATGTTATTTTTATGTCTCTTTCCATGGCTATAGCATTAAACAGCAACTTCAGACAGGGGTGGAAACTTAGCAGGTAATGGTCCTCTCTATTGTGTTGATCATTAAGTAGCGCATCTATTTCTGCTGGGGATCATGTTGGTCTCTAGCAACCTTATCTGCTATCTTACATACTATTGATGTGCTATGGCTAGATTTTTTGTGCGCATCCACTCATTGTAACATGTCAAATTGGATGATGGGGTTGTAGCAAATTAAGTGTGCCAGTTCTAGTACCTTTAAGTGGAGAGTGTTATCATTAACAAGTTGGAACAACCAGTCGTGAATAGTACAGAAACAGTAGAAATCAACATGTACAAAGCCTTAAAGTCCAAAATCATTAGGTAGCCTGGAGGACCAGTTCATCTGCTATACCAGTTCATATAAGCTATAATATACAGTATAAGGGTAATTCTATAAATGCTGATTGAGAAGTGTGCGAATGCACTTCTCCAACAAGTGGATAGGGGATCTGATTTTGTCCACTACTGGATGAAGTTGCTGGCGGCCCTGTTGGGACATCTGGTGAGTCCACTGTTCAGCTAGTTTAGTATGGGCAAAACGCTTAACTCTAGTTTGCAGCTTATCAATGAATCAGTGTTCTATGCCTTTGCATTGTGTCTATTCTATATACTGTTGCAAACCTCGTACATAGGTGTCCCTTTTCATGACTATGAAGGACTTGCTCTTGTCAGCTGATGAGAGTAATGTTCTTTCTTTGTAACCAGAGGATAGTTCTACTTACTAGTAGGTTATCTTTTTTAGCTTCACCACATCAGGTGTTTGTTTCTTGTTCTCGATCTTCATAGTCACCATCTATCTGTAACATTCTTTCTATGCGACATAGATTGCTTAAAAGGATTTCAAGGTCTGGTATGAAGGATGTAGTATCTTCAATGGAGGGAGGAGGTATGAATGTCAGTCCATACTTTAGTACCTCTTGTACAAAGGAGGGAATTGAGACATCATCCCACACAGATTTTTGGAGATTAGAAATTTTTAAGGAAAGTTTAAACAGCATTTGTATCTATTACAAAGAGGAACTTTTTCTCTTGGCAGCCTAGCAGACCCTTTACAAACCAGTTATAATATTTAGTTATTGTAAGACTTATGGCACATGCCTGTACTGATGCACAGCATTGTATTCCATTTTTTTGTAATGTTTAGGCATATGTTTGAATGCCTTCCATGTTTAAATCTGTTCCATTCTCAATGGATACTGATATGATTCAATATTTTTTTGAACATTCACATTTTTGTTTTAAACTGGTGTTCTATCAAAGAAAGGAGAATGTTCACCTGAAGCAGGACTCCAAAGGAGCCCAAAAATGGTTGTGAAGTGCATTTTTCTGACACTGAACATTAATTACAGTTATTACAGAAATTGTATACTGAACATTAAGTTTTGGTGAGAATTGTTCAACATCTAGTGTAAAGTGTTCTGTTCTCTATTGTCTCAACTTTATTCCAGATGTTCCTTAGTTTACTGTAATAATTTTGATTATACTTAGTTACTAGTAAATTATCACAATACATTCATTATACAGATGAAATTGTCTGGTGTTTCATTTGACCTCCCAATAGGACACCAGACAAGACCCATTAAAATGGAAGGCTGGCAGTCCTATAGATTACGTTAGTTATATTGATCACTCAAGAATAGATGATGATTTGCTGGAGGCATTAAGGGAACAGAGGAAGAGAGAATGCAAAAGCCTAAAATTTCAATGACTTATTTCATCCAGTAATCTGCAACGGCTTTGTTACACAGCCCATAGCATCCAAGCATTTTTATTTGAATCCCATGTAGCTGATGAATGTAGTGATGTGTCAGTTGCATTATTTTTAAGTCAATTACATAGCTGGTACCCAGTGGCCAAACGGTTCTGTTCTAGGAACACTGAGAGTTCGGTTGTGGATTTGCACCTCGTCAGGATGGGCTGGCCATGTGGAGTTTTCTGGGTTTTCTCCACTGAATAGGGGCCAGTTACCCTTAAAAAGACCCCCTTAAAAGCATCCACCCTAGGCAGATCGCCCAAGTGTTGCACTGCCATAACTTAACAAAACAATTTCATAGCCAATCATGCAGTTAAGAACTGTATGATTGGCTATATATCAATAATTGATTTAGCTTCTTACATATCAAGTAAGCATGTTTGCTAGAACACAATGCCAACAGGATACTGTGAGAGAGCTGAATTGACAAATATTTTACAGGTGAAAATTTAAATTTGAAATGAAAACCTTGCTGTAATTTTTTCCACGATTGTTAAAATTGTAAAGGTTATGATTTTATTCCTCTGTGGAGTCACTTCCCATTTAAGATGTTACATCAAATGTGTCACCAGGAACTAGAGATGAGAAATTGCTATTGGACATAGGCACTGCAACATTGCCAAAAAAGAGCAGAGAGAAAAGAGGGAGGACCACTAATAAAAGAAAATAACTGATGACGATAAGTTCTGTCTGGCAAGAGAAGTTCGTCTGTTGACAAGGGGACAGATGTTCATCTGAGAATCCATTGTCATCAAAGTTCACCCTAGTCAGAGTTGGATACCTTAGTGACCTTCCTCCATCCTGCATGAACTCCATAAAAGTGAACACCTTGAAAAAGTGACTCCATCAATCCTACGATTCACCTGAGATCCTTTACCAGGTATCTATGAAACGTACATATAACACTCTCTCTCTCTCTCCAATGTAAAACTCACAAAATAGTTAATATCATAGACATAACCCTTACTATAAAATATTAACCTCATTTATATAATTAGATAAATATACGGATA